ATTGAGATGGGTAATTGTTTTCGACTGTAAGTTGACTGTTACGAAACCCGCTGTAAGAGTACTATATAACCAGTGTAATTGTCTTTCTCGTCACCACACAATTACATAAAGCCAAGTAAATAGTTTTTATAACGAAAAAATTAATAAACATTCGATTGTAGGCCTGCGTAGCAACCTGTCATGCCGTACCGCACGTGTTGTAGCAGCGTAGCAGTGCTACGCGCTACGTCACGGCTACGAGAAACGTTTTATCATAGTATGACGTAACAGAGATATGTGTTGCGTAGGTATTTAGGTCACCTGTTAGCACTGGGGGTCGGGGTTAGTTCAGTAGTTTAGTCACATACTATATTAATGTAGCTACTAAGTACTGAAATTTCGGGCTACGAACTATGCTAATTGTATAATTTTCAAGATTATGTTGATTACCAGGGCTCCGGCTAGAAGCAGGAGTAAGAACGGACTGGTAGTCAGTAAGAGTCTGACACGAGGTGGCAGAAGACATTTAATGATTTTCCAGTATCAAAAAAGGCTTGAACTCATTATCTTGTTCTCACGACCACAAACACTACGTAATAGGGATGATGACAGGGTATAAAAATTAAAAATCGAATTGTCCAGTTAGGTAATTAAAAAATATTAGACACGCATTTTTTTATTTTGTCGTATAGATAATAAAATGATACTTAGATATAACGAATGAAAGTTTAAGAGTGGGGGCTAAAACGTCATTTCTACGTATAAAATTTACATAGAAGTGACGTCACGCGATATTTCACATCAATATACCATCGAAAGTATTCGTCTCTGTAAAAAAATAATAAATACGTGTGTAATGTTTTAAAATAATCTACCAGACGGACATTAAAATAAAAATTAATCATCTACCCTATTAATATATTTCCAATTTAAGACATACACTATCCATACATAGTACATACATAGAAAGATCGGTACCTAGCCATATTACAAAAAGATCCCAAACGTAATAATATCTATACATATAATAAAATTGTAGAAAAGTGCTGTCTGTACATCTATACATATAATAAAATTGTAGAAAAGTGCTGTCTGTACATTGAAAATAAAAATAAAAAAAATAGCAGGGGCTATTGTTATGTCGATGTCGAACCCAAAAATGTAACTAACTTTTTTTTTGTCTGTTTGTCTGTTTGTCTGTTCACGCTAATCTCAGAAACGGCTTATCCGAGTTGGATGCGGTTTTCACGAATATATTGTGGTATGCTTCAGTTATGCTTTAGTGTTTGTTTCATGTCAATCGGTTCATAAATAAAAAAGTTACGTCAAATTAAAGAATCACGTCGAACACTATCTATCTATCTATCTATCTATACATATAATAAAATTGTAGAAAAGTGCTGTCTGTACATTGAAAATAAAAATAAAAAAAATAGCAGGGGCTATTGTTATGTCGATGTCGAACCCAAAAATGTAACTAACTTTTTTTTTGTCTGTTTGTCTGTTCACGCTAATCTCAGAAATGGCTTATAAATATATATATATTTAACAGGGTGCGGAAAAGGTGATAGTGGTTTTATTCCTCAGATTCCTCTCATTCCAAAAAATTTTCCGTTTAATTTTAAACGAATTCAGTTTCCAGTGAGCCTATGTTTCGCCATGACAATTAATAAAGCTCAAGGTCAGACTCTAAAAGTTGTGGGTATAGATCTAAGTATCAGCTGTTTTTCGCCCGGTCAATTGTATGTGGCTCTGTCCCGTGTTAGCAATCCCAGCAGCCTGTATGCTTTCACCCCCGATGGCCATACGTCTAATATTGTATATAGAGAAGCATTACAGTAAAGTAGAGAAGCATTACAGTAAAATGACTGTGATTATGATCCAAATCTAAAATAAAAATAAGTAAATATTTAAAAAAAAACGCTGCTCATAGTCACTATTCTACGCGAACGAAGTCGCGGGCACAGCTAGTTAATAAATATTTTCATATTCTTTATTCAATTTTCATATTACTATGTAGATCGAATCTCTATTTCCGAACAATATATAGGAAAACTTATTTTCCACTCTGTTTAAAATATAAACACCACAATAGAGACTAATTCAATGAACCAATAAGAACAAAAAGGCTTTTGTCAAATTAAGTTTCTGCTTCAACCCTTTGTCTGTATTCCAGGAACACGAATAATAATAAAAGTCGATGACTGGTCAAAACTAGTCTCAAGATGTCAATACGAGCCGGACGGCCGTAACCGGACCAGACGGGAGCGCTGTCCGGCGCACGTGCCGTACAAGAAACGTAAGAACTGAGGGACGCACGCTGTCTGCCCCGTGGTTTTAAACACTGATATAGTTTGTATGGATGGGGCTAAGAAGGTTGCACTAAATAGGAAGAATACTGAATGGACAAGAAATATAAACTTTAGATATATTATACATACATTCATAACTTTACTGTTTCCCATGGAGGTAGGACTACAATGGAACACCGATAAACTCAAACTGAAAATAAAATTTTGTGTCAAAGATAATCTCAATAATGAATTATTCAAAGAAACCCATAATATTGTATTTATGAGACCGAAGACCGAAACTTTAGAAGATTTAATAAATCAATAATTAATTTCCTACTAGTAACCAAACCTCTAATAAAGTCACATTTAAAAAATAAAGTATACTGCACGGTATATTGCAATAGACTCACCCCCTATTACATGGGACTCATAACGTAAACAGTGAAAAGTAGGTGTTACATTGCAGAGTAGTATTAAGCGCCGTAATGTCCACTTCTGCCTGCACCTTCGGGAATGTCGCGGAGAACCTAACGGGTAACCGGGGCTCCAGCTCGAAGTGCAGGAGAAGGAACGGGGTGGTTTTTAGTCAGTAAGAGTCGGACTCTCCCTCCCGCCTCACCCAGGCGGGAGCAGTCATTCGATGAATTTCGCCCCTTAAAAAAAGCACCTTCGGGGATAGAAGGCGTCATGTTCTGTTAAAAAAATCGTAAAACCATTGAGAAAATCATTTTATATTCAGCGCTCACAATTAACATGACAAACACAAAAAGGTCACATACATAAACAAAACAAACAAACAGAAACCACGATCGTCATCATTCATATCAGCAGGGTCAACTAATCTAATAGGTACTATAGAACAAAATATTTATTGTTCACACGTATATTGACTTTAATAAGCCTAAACAATCTTATCAGTTGTTATCAGGGCACATCTAGTGTTCTATATCATAGAAAAAATTTCCATAAGGCTGTATGTAAGTCTATGGTTGTCGATAACGGCCATTCAGTTACTCTTCGGGTCATTTAAACTTCGAATTGCAATGGAAATAATCAGGTCAAATATACCTCTTCTATTATTTAAAAAAGATATAAAGATTTTACGTAACTTGGGTCTGTAATGACCTGAATAAGGGTTTCATATCTAGTGCAATTTATAGTACATTACTGAACATTTATGTGTGGGAGAACCATGCTTCGGCACGAATGGGTCGGCCCGACCGGAGTGATACCACGATCTTACATCTCTTGTTGCTTGCGTTTTGATTCGTCGTGTAAGTGAGGTTACCGGAGGCCCAATTATCCCCCCCCCTGCCCCAATCTCCCCAATCCCTGAATCCCCAACAATACTCAAATTCCTGCACCTGGTTTTGCACCCTTGTGTACTCTTTAACGGCCAAGTCACACAAGATTAAATATAATCATAAATAAATCGCAGGAAGGAACTTTAGACTAGGCACGACTTTGTCTAGATTTCATTACTTTTTAGAGATAGACGAGCGGCTCCATCGAGAATATTTTTAGGTGGATACATACTTACACTTTTATTGTTATAAATTACATATTAGCATTACCGAACCACTCATTATCAGAAGGAATACTAATATATTTCCAGCTGGACTGGTTCTGAGAAGGGAGTTTATTTGCCATATTACGCAAACACTTTTCACGTATTCAAATAATAATGTGGAACAGAAAAAATGTAGTTTGTAATGAACAGTCTTGTCCGTAAGTCGTAGTTCAGGACATACTTTGTACATAAGTTACAGCATTATTATATTGCAACGTTTCAGCTGAAGAATAATGGAGACATACAATAATATTTATAGTATAACATAAGCTCGTTAGTACGAAAGAAAAAGTGAAGTACACTACTGGTAGAAAGGTTAAAGGTTGAGCAAAGGACTACACGTCAAGCAATACTAAACCAGTATATACTGGTCGTTGAATGTGCAGAAAGATTATACAAAGCGAGGCCTTTATTAACTGGTTATATATAGCTTTATGTGCCATGTGTCCTTCAACGCTGAGCACAATAACTGTTGGTAAATATACTCGGGTATTATCACATGACATTTATTTTGACCTTTTTCACATATTGCCGAGAATCTCTCAGAATTCTACTTCTTATTTATGTATTTAAAACTGTCAAACACCAAGCGGTCACCGGTGACCGCAACCTATTGTTCTATAATTGTGTCTACAAAACCGGTACTCGACGAGTTAATTAAAAAAGAATAAGATTTTCATTCACTTCAGATTCACTTCCACTTCTTACCAAATAAGTAATTATACATTCGTTGCTTCGTCCTTCGAGATTAGGTAATAATTTGTAGTAACGCATATCGTGTCGCCTTTCATCCACTAAGTTAAAAGCAAAAAAAAAAAAATGTTGAGGGTACTCGCAACACAACTAGGAACATTGGTTGACCGGCCACTCATTCGCGTTTCAGTGCGTCGCCGATCACCACGTAATATTAACTTTTATAGAAAAATACCGTTATTATAACGATGCCGAAACGAGTTTACAGTGAAGAAGATGAGGACAGTGATTATTGCAGTAAAAAACTAAGGAAAATACAGAAATTAAAAAAGAAGATTCAAAAACACCAACGGAAACGAAAATTAAGTTCTGATGTGTGTAGTAGCGGCAGCTCACCGGTGATTGTTTCGCCGCCGCCGCCAAGTATATCGAATGGTTAGTTAATTAATGTTTATTTTATCTTGAAGTGAATCACGGGCGTGCCGTTTAATAATAATTGTGTGCACTACTAAGGGAGTGCTCCGTTATATAAAAAATATTGTGTATAGTTGCAAGGACTATTACCGTATTTTAAGAAACGTGCACCTACCTACCATTTTTAACATTTTATATTGTATTGTGTACATCTTATAGGGGATGTTACCTTCTCAATATTTTATACAGTTTACAAAATTAGTGATGTGTACATTCGAAAGGAATGTTTCCTTCACTTCTCCTTTTGTCCATTGAATATCTAAATTTGATATTAATTTTACTCAATGTATATACGAGTACATAGTTTACTCTACTTACCTACACAAAATTAGGTTTAAATATCACTATGTGGACACTTAAATGGCCTGTTTATTAACACGAGCATCTGGATTTCCAGGTAAAAACGATTCACAAGTAGACATTGAACTACCAATTAATGACGAACCTCAACCAGTGCCATCTACTTCATATCAATCGGCGATTCAACCAACTGAAATCGCTATGATATTAGAACCGACCGAAGAACTCAACCGTCCGGAATTAGACGAAGAAATAATGTGTCTTCTCGGACAAACACCATCCAAAGAAAAAAAGTTAGGTTCTGATATTCAAAAAGATCTAGCCTTAAGACTAGAACATATTGCTACAATGGGACTGAAAAAAGAGTCCAGAAAGGAGATAATCGAAAATAACCTTATACCCTCAAATTGTACAAAAATCAATGCTCCAAAATTAAATCCTGAGATAAAGGCTGCTCTATCTGAGATATTAATTAAAAAGGATAATGCATTAGAGGCGAAACAAGTACAGATTGCTGCGACCATATCCTGTTTAGGCAACGCCTTAACAAAGATATTTTTATCGGATTTTAAAGATCAAGCTGTTATTAAGTCATTGATTGAAGCTAGTCAGTTATTGTGCGATACACAACACAGAGAATCTATGACTAGGCGTAGTTTTATTTGTTCTTCAATAAAAAAGGATTTTAAGGAACAGCTGTACAATACAGAGATAGATAGTTTTCTGTTTGGAGAGAAATTAGCCGACACGCTCAAAGCAGCAAAAGCTATTTCAAAATCAGGAGCGGAAATCATGGTCACTATGAAGAAAACTGTTGTGCCACCAAAAGCAAGCCAGGTTCCTGCTCAAGCTTTAAATCAGAAGCCTCCACTCCCTCCAACCCGGCGGACGGGAGTAGCGAGGAGGGCAGAGCCGGCAGCGGCGCCAGCGCCACGCTCGCGCCAGCAGCAGCCACTGCGACACTCTACGCGCTCACAGCGGCACCATGCACAGCGCCACTAAATACGGTACGTACAGCAGGTCGACTATCCTTGTTCTACAATAAATGGAAAAAATTGACAAACGATCCGGTAATTTTATCGTGGATAAAAGGTTATAAGATACCTTTTTCTACGCCGGCTGTACAATTCCAAGAACCTATTTTACCTTCATTTGCTCCATCAGAATCTTCACAATACAGAACAGCCATATCTGATTTAATTAAATTGGAAGCTATATCACCCTGCCAACCATCTGAGGGGCAATTCCTTTCTAGCTACTTTCTCATCAAGAAACCTAGCGGGAAAAACAGATTTATACTAAATTTAAAATCTTTAAATAAACACATTATTACTGAACACTTTAAAATTGAAGATTTAAGAACCACAATAAAATTAATCTCAAAAGACTGTTTTATGGCCACCTTAGATTTGAAGGATGCCTATTTTCTAGTTAATATACACCATGCATATAGGAAATATTTACGATTTAGATTTGAAGGTAACTTGTATGAATTTAACGTTCTCCCATTTGGCCTCAACACAGCACCGTTTGTTTTTACAAAATTGTTGAAACCAGTGATGTGTTTAATGCGATCTTTAGGATATCTATCTACTATTTATTTAGATGACATCTGTACGATAGCTAAAGATTACAAAGGTTGCCTCAAAAACATAACTGAGACGAAATATGTCTTGGAATCGTTAGGATTCATTATAAATACTGAAAAAAGTCGTATGGTACCTAAACAAGAATGTAAATATCTAGGCTTTCTAATTGACTCCAAAAAACTACACATCAGCTTAACTAATGAAAAGAGGATTATCATTAAAAAAGAATTACATTATTTTCGATGTAAGGATCGTTGTAAAATAAGAGAATTCGCACGACTAGTTGGTCTTCTCACCGCAAGTTGCCCTGCTCTTCAATATGGTTGGTTGTACACAAAAATGTTCGAAAGATGTAAATTTCTGGCATTAAGTAAAACACAAAACTATGACAGATACATGTCGTTACCTGAAATTTTACAAAAGGATTTTTCTTGGTGGTTACGAGCCATTGATACAGCCGTCAACCCGATAAGACAAGATAACTATAGCTTAGAAATTTTCTCAGATGCAAGTAAAAAAGGATGGGGGGCAGCATGCGGTGGGGAGACGGCTAGTGGACAATGGAGTGTTGCGGAATCGAAAAAGCACATTAATTATTTGGAACTGTTAGCTGCTTTCTTAGGTTTACAGACATTTGCAAATCATCTTAATAATTGCCAGATATTATTACGTGTGGACAATACAACTGCTATTTCATACATCAACCGAATGGGCGGAGTCCGCTTCCCACACCTTAACGAAATGACAAAAAAGTTATGGGAATGGTGTGAAGCGCGCGCAATATATGTATTCGCTTCATACATAAGCTCTGAAGATAATGAAATAGCAGATGCAGAGTCACGAAAAATTCACCCAGATTCTGAATGGGAGTTAAAACAGGCTGCGTATAAAAAAATCACACATGTTTTAGGTAATCCTGACATTGACCTGTTTGCGTCTAGAGCTAACCACAAATGTCGGAAATATGTATCTTGGAACAGAGACCCTGGGGCTTGTGCGGTTAATGCTTTCACATTAAATTGGAAAAAATATTTATTCTATGCGTTTCCACCTTTTGCTATTATATTAAAAGTTTTAAGAAAAATAATAACGGATCAAGCAGAAGGCATACTAGTAGTCCCTTATTGGCCTACGCAACCTTGGTTTCCTTTGTTCCAAGAGCTTCTGTGTTCTGAGATCGTTCGATTTAAACCCAACGATAATGTCCTCCTGTCTGTATCCAACAGCATACCCAAGCTGACGCTGATTGCAGGGAAATTATCCGGACGGCACTACTGAGGAGAAGCGTGCCGCCGTCCTCTTTGGATATCATGACAGCTTCATTGTCCAGTAATTCTTTAAAACAATATAACACTGCGATTCGTCGTTGGGTAAGCTTTTGTAAAGACAATTCGTGGGACGTATACGAAGCGTCAATTCCGCAGATACTTTATTTTCTTACGAAACTTTTTCATTCGGGGCTTCAATATGGATCACTAAACAGCCATCGCTCTGCTCTGTCCTTGATCTTAGGATCGAGAGTAGGATCAGATGACCGTATTAGCAGACTATTTAGGGGCTTTTATAGACTTCGGCCTCCTGCCCCAAAATAT